TGGAGAAAACGTTTCCTACACCATTTAACGCAGAACTAATATTGTTCGGGACATCCCCGTCTTTGCTGGGTATCAGCCCTTCCGTTCTACTTTCACCTTCATAGATGTCACTAGTGGTATTCATATTTTGTACAGCTTTTGTTACGTGATTAACAACACCTATTTTACGAGAACTGTCCTCTGTAACATTAATCACTGTTGTTTCATGATTTGTTTTTTCTGTATTTCCGTTTCCTGTTGTCGGGTGTTCAACGGTTAATTTCCGCGATTCGTTTGAAGTTTTTGTTGTATCTCGTTCTGGCACGGACCAGACTGTAGATGAATTGTACAGTTTTAATAACGGGAAATCGAATTCTGAATCTGGTGCTAGAGATTTCATTGATGTGACATGTGAGTGGTTTTCCCTCGCACTATTTTCAGACAAGGTATGCGTGATGCCTCTACCACGAATGTCTAAAAATGGTGAATCTCTATTTCCTTCCGGTGTCTCAGATATAGATAAGTTTAATTTTTTATTATTCCTTACGAATACAGATCCTTCTTCTGTATTATGCCTAATGGTTCTAGGATCAAAGGTTTCGCTAATCATGCTTTTGTTTACAGTTGTATTATTTTCTCCATCATTTATAGTTTTGGTGATCTTATAACTACTGTTTGAGGTTATGGTTGACGTACCTGTTGTAAAATCGAAATTTTTCGTAGAAATATTCACTTCTTTGTGAAGATCGAAGGAAGTTAAGTTATTATCTGAAGATATATTTCTAGAAAACTGACGAGAAAGTGGTTCATTGGAAGGAATTATTAAATCATGTGTTTGGGACTTGGCAGGTTCAATGATTTTTGACTGGGTTTTGTTTGTATCATTCCGCTCAGGTGGAACTAATACGCGATCCAGACTCTTGTTATTTGTATTCTGGGATCTGTAACTTTCTGGAGAGTCCAGAGTCGGTTCTATAGGTGGAGTATCCGTGATCGTTAATGGCCACGCTCCCTTAACTGACACAGAAGTTACAACTGCGGTAGATAATATTTTAGTTGTTGGGGATTGGACTGAAGTTGTAATGAATGGTAGGGTTACATTTGTCGGACTATATTGTGGGGATGTACTCGTAATCAGCATGGCAGTTACACTTTCTACTGACGTTTGTGACGAAATATTTCTGCCTGAGTTAATCACCGTATCTTCAAATAAACTTCCATTCGTTTCAGCTGGGAGCTCTCTGTGAGCATACCGTTCCTTTAGATTAACAAGTAACTTCTCTCCGATATTCATTGGTTGAGACACATTAACTTTAGTTTCATGTTCTAAGATACTACCGCTGAAAAAGTCCCTCCTTCCAGTATACGTATTGCGAGACGCCGATAACATACGTGGAGGCAGCGATGAAGTTCTTGAAGGCTTTTGACTTGAACCACTTGTAACAAAAGTATCTGTTAGGTTCAATCTTTTCTCTGGCGTCTTTATATCACTATAAAGGGAAATATTTTCTGATCTTGATGTGTTATGTGAAGGGTTTGACGATTTGAACGTGATATTTGAATTCCTGTTAAAATTTAAAGAAATGGATGGTTGTCTCCGATTGAGAAAAGCGAGCGAATGGACGATCCTCGTCGTTGACGACCGTGCTTTCAAAAACGGAGTTGAAACAGTGGCTTCTACGTGAGAACTTGAAGCAGATAGTTGTGTCGGAATTCCGGACTGATTTGTCGGTAAAGTAGCTAACTTCTCAGACGTAACAGAGTTTTGAGATGACAGATTGGTTAGACCCCTAGAGTGGTCATTTACGGAAATTCTCGAAGCCTGCGTTGTGGAATGAATTACCGAATACAAATTTCTCTGCGTTCCTTGAGAAGTAGATGGATATTCAGTGGAAGTAATCGGCGTCGATACATCTCCGAGGGATCCCAGTTTCATTCTACTGCTATCATCAAATTTGGAATTATTCTTCGAGGCTTCTTCAGTTTTCAATGTGTTCTCTGTGGATGATGTAGGAGTAATACTGGATGCAGATGGATTCTCTACTATTCCAGAGGTCAAAGTTCCGTGTTTGCGATAAAGTCCACCTAAGTTTCTAAGAAACTGTAATGCATTACCTCTGTTTCGTGATACTTTATTTTTCTCGACAACAGATTTGACGACGGATACATCCATGTCCTCATGGAGTTCTTCCTCCCTTGGAACATGTGCCGCGCGACTGTCTAAAGGCAAAACTTTCTGTGGCGTAGTGTTCAATAAATTGTACTGGCGTAGTGAAGGTGTACGTGGGGATGTTCCAGTAGCCTCGATGGAGTTTGTGCTGCTGGTCGAGGATGAACCACCGACCGGGGAGGTGACTTTTGCATTCATGGGAATCAATTTCTTGCCGAAGTCTAGAAATGGTAAAAGGTGATCTTCTGGTACTTCCTTATCTAAAGGACGGAAATGATTGTATAATGACTCGGACATTGTCAGAGCCGTGGCCACGGGCAACGGAGATGTCTCTGAGCGGATGACAATTGACGGTCGTCTTTTCCTGACAGCTGTCGAAACAGAGGTTTCTGTTGTGGTTATATTCGTCTTCAATGGTGACTCTGATGCTTCTGAGTTATCGTTTTTAAAATCTTCGTCTTTTCCTGTTTCATTCTTAACGTCTGCCTCATTTTCTCTTATTACCTGTCTCTCAGAGGTTTTGCTGTTGTTTACGACTTTATTTTCCTCATCTGAAGACATACTCTGAAGCAAAGCAGGGGAGACACTCGGTCCTATTAGCGACACAGCAGCCGGGGTCCGTGTCTGTAGTCCGTACACTGATTCCTCTGCTTCAAGCCTCTCCTTACTGTTACCCACAGGCTTGATGCGAAAAGTCCTCCTTCTCGTACCAGAGATCGATTTTTGAGAATCTGCATTTCCCAGTTCATCGTGTGGAAATGAACTACGTCTGTCAGCCAATCGCGTTAAGTTATTTCTCTCGCCATCTACCTTTCCGTCTTCTTTGGCGAATCGTTTTGTAATCTTTGGTTTCTTGAATAAATCTGTCGAGTCTCTCTGATTTCCGAATGAATCACTATATCTAGTTGATCCACGTAGATTCGTCGGCGATCTCGGTGTTTTACCTACAAACGAGAAAAAAATCAATCGATTAATATCGCAACGAGTCCTCAAATGTGATGAAATTCTTAAATCGAGATTATCTGCGTTTAAGTTGATATCTGTCGCAATTGGTACGATAATACCACATCGAGCTTCCATATAATGACGGAAGACATGTAAACCACCTCATTGCAACATAATTCAGATAGTCCAATAACACATTTAATATTTTTTATAACACATCAGCCCTATTGACTAATTACCCTATTTTAATTTAAAGTAAATCTACCATTAAGTAACAGAAACAACTTCCTCATATTATGATTTATGCTAATCTCTTTCAACCTGAAACTGTCTGCTATGCCGCGCCGTCACTTAATTTTTAAGACTACTCAGCTGCATACATCCACAGAACACAGGCGTTTTTAAGAAGCTAACAGTCGCTAGTTAACTTAAGGAATTATCAGACTTCTACGGAATCCGATGGGTCATTGCAATGTTTACAAGAACTCGCCACCGGCCCCCATCACAAAGTGGATTAATCAAGCCCACATCTACCTTACGGCCAATTTATTATTATTCTCGTAAAAACTCTTCGTTTCCCGAACAAAAATTGTTCACGTTTTTCACGCTGTCCAATCCCCGGCAAATATAATCAATAACACTTCTGGGATACAAATTCATCAGATTTATGTTACAACAAAATATGGTTCTCAAATTGTTGTTAATTAACTACATACACGATAAATATATACAGGGTGATTCAAAAGGTTAGAGCGGAACTTAAGGAGCGTATAGAGGTACTCAGAGAGAACAACTTTCGAATAGGAATCCGTGTCCTCCGAAGTTATCCTGAGTCAGTCGAGGCCTTTGAAGGTAGGGAAGTCTGATGACATACCACTGAAATAATCGTACTTTGCTATTCTCCTATTATTTATTTATTATTTAGGGTTCTGTCTGACGACAGGTCCATATGAACAGGATCCTTCCATCCTTTTCTCGGACTGGGACCTGTTCATATACGTTCTTGGCAAATGATCCAGAAGTGGTTTGCCATTGCCTTCTTCTGTGGGTGAATGGAGTAATTGTTGGGATGCCACGGAGGAAAACTCCGTGTTGCCTAGACCACGGCCTCGCCCAACACAAGTTATAAATTCGGGGAGACTCAGGATAACTTCGGAGGACACGGATTCCTATTCGAAAGTTGTTCTCTCTTGAGTCCCTCTATACTCTCCTTCAGTTTGGCCCTAACATTTTGAATCATCCTGTATATAGCCTGTGTTTGAAATCTGATGCTTATGAATGTAAATTTTCAGGATAGTCGTCTGTCTAAATTCAGACAATTTACAAACGTGAAAACGAAATTTGTACTTAAGATAGAAGATTTTGTGAGACCGTGAGTTAAGTCGTGAAACTGTAAACTCGTAAACCAGGATACGGGTCTCTGACAACGGAAGTCCGTACGAGAAAGGCGTTGACAAATTCCAGCAGACGTAAGTTCGTCCAAGCGTAGCGTTGCATCAGCGCAGACGGCCTCTGCAACGGACGTCAGCTTGTGTTCAACAATACTCGCTTTTCATTCTTGTGTTGTTTACACAAGAGGAAACGGAGATTTGGTACAACAGACATCTGTTATTAAATCACAGTTCGGCCACGCTACTCATTGTGGTAAATTTGCACAGCCGTTTCAATTATATATAGTTCTGACAGTTTTATAACAAATGAACGTTAGTGTTTGAAATGCAGAGTCAGCGTATACGAAATTCTCTACTCTGTTGAATGTCGGAATACACACACTCAATTTTTTCAGGATTTATTTTCCGAATTAAAATTATTCTTGTAGGATTTAAATTGGACGACGATAAAATGATTTTCAGAGTAATAAAATACGTAAGTACGTAAACATGACAAATTGAACGGAAGTGTTCAGAATTACAATCGAATTCAACAATATTAAGCGCAAACAATCATTTTTACAAATTGGAAAACCCAAAACTACAGAACTTAAATCTGATTTTTAATATATATTAAAATGATGAGCCAATAATTGACGAAATACATTTTTAAATTTGTAAATCAACTGCCACCTCATCAGAGACAACGGGTAAAAAAAATGTTTGATTCAATACGAAAATATGACAACACGAAAAAAGACATTATACAATTTAGAATTCGTGAAGGATGCATCTAAATAAAATATATCCTTGTTTCTGATTTTGTGACACACACAAATGCCCATACATGTAATGTAAGTATGTTTAAATGTGCTATGAGGAAAGTCCTGTGAAAATTAATGGTCTAAACCAGTGATATTCAACCTGGGGTACGCGAAGACATCTTAGGGGGTACGTGAAATTTTTAAAAAATATATTATTTTATTATAAACACTGATATTTAATTAATTAATCTTGTCCATCTAATCACAATTTAAAATTTAAAATTAAGATAGTTAAAATACCATGTGATGCTCCTTATCGAAACATTCGATTTACATTTGGAACATCACTTTCTCACTACATGTTTCGGTTCTTAGATGAACCATCTTCAGGTGTGTAAAAATTACAATTATATAAACTTAAAACTTAATCATAATTTCTTATATGCAA